AGGCAGGGACACACCCAACGGAGTTACATGAATGCTTTCTCAGCCACTCATGAACCAACAATAGAGCGTTTCCAGCCAATTCCCCCCCTGTTCCCCAGGCTTGCACCCCAGAACTGTACTGTCTTGCACTGTCAGAAGCCTCATTAACCAGTCCACCTCTCCCTCAATATGGAGAGGACACAGACTAGCCTTTGTAAATTGAACTGCGATTTCCCAAGCACTTCAACCAAAACACCCTATTTTAGGTAAAATATAAAACAGATTTATTAGCTACAGAAAGATAGATTTTAAGTGATTATAAGTAGCAGGCATAGAAATCAGAGTTGGTTACTTAAGAAACGAAATAAATTTGCAGTTTGAGTTCTACAAACTAAACAGGATTTGAATCAAGCAGATTCAATAGATAGCACAAACAGGTCACATATCCTGAATAAACAGGCTGGAACTCTTTTCTGGCCTCCTGTTCAAAGTCTCTGTCCTCCAGATATTTATTCCTGGTGTTGAGTTGAGGGGAGAGAGAGGACAAGTGATGATCTTACTTCCCCTCTTTAATAGTTTCTTCCATCTTGCTGAAAAGATCTTTGCTGTGAGATGGGTTAGTCAATCCCCATTGGTCAAATGTCTCCATTGTCTTTGTGTTCTTTTGGAGAAGTCTCCATTGTGTACAGTTCCTGGAATAGTGGATTCTTTCCTTGACTGCTGTTTGGCTATTCCACTGTTGCACCAGAAAGGCTGGCTGTGGGTGTTCCCAACTTCACAACATTTTTCAGTAACATATAGAGCAATACTCCATAACCTCACATATAATGACAGCACATACAATCAAACAGGATATTAATATTCAACAGGTCGAGACTTTTAAAATGATACCTCACAAGGCATATTTGGGACAAAACATATCATAATTATATCATCATGGTGAATATGGGGGTTCCAGGCTGCTGCTTTGAGGTACAAAGTGTCACAACTATACTGTATCTAAAGGAGAGATTAAATATCATGCCCTAGTACACAAATTACTAGATATAATATAAACTTGAACCTAGATCTTATTAGATTCTGTAGGAAGGTTACCGACTCTAACTTAGGTTGGTCAACATAGATTATTTTTATAGTCTCCTTTATTTGGTGTCTCATGTCCCATATAAAGTCAATATCTGAGACACTTTTCCGTATTTCTGCAATAATTATGTAGATGATCATATACTCTGATTCAGATTTTTGATTTTGAACAATGAATATAAAACATTGTCTGCCATTTCTTGAAAATATTTTTTATTTTTCCTTGTAGTTCCCTTTCCTTGAAACATATGTGGTTACCTGACTTACCTAAATTGGAAATAACATCTGAATAGGTTCTGAATCTGAATTTTGTCCATGCGATCTTTCCCTGGTAAAGTAATTGCAAATCCAGCCATTAGAGCTTATCATGACAACTTACCTTAATGCATGTAAATATATAAGGATATTTGGCAGATATCTTAATTTAGGTGCTTTGCCCTCCTTCCTATTCTTAGGAAAACAGACATTATTGGTCCTTTTCCCTTCTTTACTCTCTAGTCAGTAAAGAATGTCTATGAAATGCAAGATGAGATAATATTAATAAAGCAAATACCCTGATTAGTCAATGAGTTTGCAGAAGAGGAAATGCCATAACTTAATTTCTTTGGCATTTCCATATGACTTTTCATCTTCAGTACTGTTAACATTCAAATGCTTGTGGCTGGAAGCTAAGGAATGACAAATCATATTATTTTCCTAGTACACCTCTACCTCGATATAACGCTGTCCTCGGGAGCCAAAAAATCTTACCGCGTTTAGGTGAAACCGCGTTATATTGAACTTGCTTTGATCCACCAGAGTGCGCAGTCCCGCCCCGCCCCCAGCACAGCTTTACCGCGTTATATCCAAATTCATGTTATATTGGGTCGCGTTATATCGGGGTAGAGGTGTACTTTATAGGCTTTTTGTGCATTTTAGAATTCATTAATGAGGATTTTTCTGTCTAAATACTGGAGCTCCTTAGACCAGAGTTTTATTCCAGTAGACTTGATTTTATTCATTTATTTTATCTGAGAGAACATCACACAGGATTTAGTCATCCTTAGAAAGAGAATATGCATGTCCTCATACTCCAGATAACATTACTTCAAATGCTTGATATTAGAGCTAGGCATTAAAAAGTGTAAGAGGTTAGGACATTCATGTTTTCAGGAAGGGTCCAAAGAAGGGTTTAACTCTTAATACTCCCCAAGTTCAAGTAGTGGCCATAGCTGTGATTTGATAGAGCCTATCAATTTCTGTATATATTTTGCCCCAAAATTTGTTAAAGGTTTACACTAAATTATACCTGCTCTCTTTTCTGAATAGTTTGGAGTTCCCTGGATGATTACACACTTAAAATAAGCCTAAAATACTGTCAATTACTTTTAATTGTGGTAGCCTGTATTCTAGCATCAGAATTATAAAATAATGTCTTTCAACACTCTTGTTTTGTCAGTTCCATGCAACTAAAGGGCTGCCTCCTGCACCTACATGATAGGTAATGGGGACAGAGTATCCAGAGTATGCATCTGATGAAGTGGGTATTCACCCACGAAAGCTTGTGCTCCAATACGTCTGTTAGTCTATAAGGTGCCACAGGACTCTTTGTTGCTTTTTACAGGATACTATGTAAGGCTATCCTTAGTTTCCTCTTAATGTCCCCTTAGAGGCGATGTTTATGGGATATATCCCATTAAATTTGCAGAGCCAGAAGATCCTTAGGGAACTCTTTTTGTAACCCTGTGGGTCCCTGGGTCTACGCATTGCTCTGTGGATCCACTAACTTCTGGGAACCTGCCTTGGTATGCCAATGTTATGGCATCCCATTGTAGCTGTGCTAGAGAAATCACAGAAGGGACATCCTGTAGCTTGGAAGTAGCTAAGGGATGTGGGGAGCATACCATGCTGTCTTTGTTGCCTCACCTTCTGCAGGACTAGGAGGCACTTTATTTCCTAATTTCTCTCTCCTTCCCTTCTGGCCCATGCAATAGAGGGAAGCATAGGATCCAAATCAATTTTGAATAAAATCTCATGAAGTACTGGCAACCTTTCATATTGCTCAATAAAATGCATTTCTCTTGTCATGCCAAATCCTTGGTTTATATTAGAGTAATTTGTAAAATTACCCAGCCTTGGTGAATCAATAATCCTGAGTTTCTCAATTTGTTTTATGATTTTGTCCTTACAGACTTCTGTCTACATTTAAGGCCACATTCCCATGAAAAGGGCGCTTGAAATAAAAATCTCTCTATTGTCTGATGCAAAAAAATTAACTTCACCCACTTTATTTTTTAACATTAAAAACAAAATGTAAATGATTAAAAGTTTGCTTTCTTTCATGCATGTACATATTTTTTGGTACTATGGCATCAAACAACTCTATCATAAGCTCTATAGGGCAGGGACCAGTTTGTTTTTTAAGCATTGCTTAGCACAGTTGGCTCCAGGTCCATGACTGGGGGCTTCTAAGTGCTACCATAGTACAAATAAGTGCTGCAGGGTGCAATTTAATAGAGCTGCAACTAGGTTTTTAATTTGTGGTTTTGCAGAAAAATAGTTGGAACTCAAGAGGCAAGATTTTTGTATATCTGTGATGCAGATTGTGCAAAGCAGAACAGCACTGGTTCTACCTTAGTAGAACATTTATTTCAGTTGGAATACTCAATTTTCACTAGGGTGGAAGCAGAATTGGTCTCTGCACATGCAATGAAAACCATTATATTTGCATTTTGAAATACTCAAACTTGCAGCCTGAATATCATCCAAATGTAGGTTTTTTTCCATTACACATACACCGCTGCAGTCTTCTAATTCAGCAGTCTCGCTGTGCATTGACCTTTTGTAGGGTGTCCAGACAGCAAGTGTGAAAAATCGGGACGGGGGTGGGGGGTAATAGCCTATGTAAGAAAAAGCCCCAAATATTGGGATTGTCCCTACAAAATCGGGACATCTGGTCACCCTAACCTTTTGTGAGAGCAGAGTAGAAATCAGCATTTGTATTTCCTGGGGTTTTGTGAACATTTATTTTTGACTCTCCTCTCACGCCCATTATGAGCCGTGCACTTATGCACAGGAGCATTTGGCCTGTGTGTATTTTGTGCGTTGTTTAATCTGGTTCTAGTCTGCAGTTGTTTGGTCCAGATGTGTGGCTAAGGATTAACAGAAGTGTATGCATGTAGTATAGTCTAGGTTCAGAATCATAAGCCACCTTTCACAGAAGTCCTGGAACAATTTATAGAGTGGGGATGCTGAGAGCCATTGAACCAAACTATAAACCTTGCTTATGATGGAAAGCACTTCATGTCAGAAGGTGCACCAGCACCCCTAGTTCCAACATTTATGGCCTTTCGCTTTGAATTTCAGATTAGTATAAACCCAACAGTTGAAGGGAAATACTGTGGGAACTGCTCTGTTTTGTCTGGGCCCTGTTGCCTTCCTCATCCCAGTCTCACCCAATCCTGTGGAAATCCTCAGGAGCCCTGGGAGAAAGGTCTCTGGGTCTGGGCCTGGTTTAAGGTGAGTACTGATCCTGGTGTAGGGAGGGGTGGGTGGCCGGCTAGGGACAAATCTGTCCCCTGCACCCACAGTAGCAGGGAGATGGGAAGGCCATGCCCTGTATGACACACCCTCGCTCGGAAAGCGGCGGCGAGTGTAAAAGAACAATCGGGTCCTCCCTGCACCCCTGAGGTGACTGAGTAGCCAAGTGTGATGGGCGGCGGAAAGCTGCAGTGAGTATGAGACGCAGCTCCCAAACCGGCTACTTCTGCAAGCCGCAGGCTGCCGTCTGAGGAGAAAAAGGGCGGGGGAAGGCAAGAGTGAAAAGAAGGACCCGGATGGAGAAGCCTGCTCTTCCCTCTCCTCCGCTCCCCACATGTGCGAGGCGGCCGGAGCCTGGAGCGCGCGCACACACTCTCCCCCACCCCTTCTACCCGCAGGCCAACGGTCTGGGCACGCAACCCGCATCCGAGAGAGAGGTCTCGGCCGCAAAGCTCGCGAGAGGACATGTCCGCGACGGCGGCGAGAGAGGGTGAGTGAGGGGCGGACGGGCAGCTGCTGCTGGGTGCTTCCATGTGGGGTCCGCGGGGGAGGATATATCACGTGACCGGCTGTGCGGTAGCTGAGGGCGGGGGGATTATTTATTCCCCTCCCCCCGTCCCCTTACTAAGAGATGATAGCAGTCGCTGGGCGGTGTGCTCCGCCCAAGGGTCAGGGTAAAGCTAGGCGATGTGTCTCTAGGTTGGGACTGGCTGAGGCAGAGGGCTGTGAGTGGCAGCGAGGGAGCTGCCGGGCCCCTACTGAAGCAGCTGCAGTCTCCCACCAGTCTAGTGGAAGGTCATGCGACAGGGTGACCAGACAGCAAATGTGAAACATCGGCACAGGGGTAGGGGGTAATAGGAGTCTATATAAGAAAAAGACCCAAAAATCGGGACTGTCCCTATAAAATTGGGACATCTGGTCACCCTAGCCTGTGGAGGCCAATGGTGTGGGGGGCAGCAAGCTGTGCACCCGAGCCATGGACAAGGGTCAGGATGGTGGTGCTGAAATGAGCCTGTTTCTTGTGTAAATGCAGCAGACCCTCTGAAAATAGAACCCATTTCACTGTGTTCTGGGCTGGGGGCGCTTGGCCTTTGGGAAGCCAGTGCCAGGTGAGCTGGAGCGGTGAGGCGGCTCTAGCTTAGATTTTGAACAAAAGTACATTTTTTGGAGTCTGTAAAGTGTGCCTTATTTCTGTCAAATAAACAGGGCTTGTCTACACAGGGAAATTGAGTGGCATAATTATACATGTATGACTATAGTGCTATAGTTGCACAATATAACACTCACACACCAACACTGTCTGGAATAAGAGTGCTTTTTTCTGCTTTAGTTTATGTGGTCTTCAGATGTGGCACCCTTACTCTGAATAAATAAGTCTGCATAGTGCATTAACTGTATAATGATATCAGTAAAAAGTTGTGCCTGGAAATTTCCCCATGTAGAAAAGCCCTTTATGTTCTAGTTTTATCACAAGTTGTTGAACTAGATTCAGGAATCATTGGATGAAAAGTATGATCTTTGTTACACAATAAATTAGACTAGGTCATCATATTGATCCCATTTGGCCTTAAAATGTATGAATGGAAGAGAGAGGTTTGTCTTGTTTAAAGCATAGGATTTGGAGTCAGGAGATCTGGTCCTGATGACCAAGTCACATAACTGTTTCTCTAAATTTACTTTTTTATGAATGGGTTAATAATAACTACCTGTTTCACAGGGCTTTTTGAAATACTTAATTATTTCTGATGTGCTTTGAGATCCTTGGACTTCTGTGCAACTGGGATTTGGTTAATCAGCATTGTATGTAAAATAGATAATGTATTTGCAGCACATATGTATGTAGGTGTAAAGCAGCTTAAAATTGGTGAAAGATTTTGGGATTCTCTGGACAGAAGGAACAATAAATAATTATGTTACAAAAAATGTCCACACATACATTTGTTAACTTTGCCTTATCCATGTTTGTGCAACTTTTATGTTCAATTTTGATAAATTTTTCTTCATGTGCTTGAGAAACCTGACTATACAAATTACTCATCCAAACATTGGAGATAAACAATATTATAAGAACGGTCTTACTGGGTCAGACCAATGGTCCATCTAGCCCAGTATCCTGTCTTCTGACTGTGGCCAATGCCAGGTGCCCCAGAGGAAATGAACAGAACAGGTAATCAAGTGATCCATTCCTTGTTGCCCATTCCCATCTTCTGGCAAACAGAGGGTAGGGACATCGTCGCTGCCCATCCTAGCTAATAGCCATTGATGGACCTATCCTCCATGAATTTATCTAGTTCTTTTTTGAACCCTGTTATAGTCTTGGCCGTCACAACATCCTCTGCCAAAGAGTTCCACAGGTTGACTGTGTGTTGTGTGAAGAAAAACTTCCTTTTGTTTGTTTTAAACCTGCTGCCTATTAATTTAATTTGGTGACCCCTAGTTCTTGTGTTATGAGAAGGTGTATATAACACTTCTTTATTTACTTTCTCCACACCAGTTATGATTTTATAGACCTCTATCATATACCCCGTTAGTTGTCTTTTTTCCAAGCTGAAAAGTCCCATATGGCCGCATTTCCATACTCCTAATCATTTTTGTTGCTCTTTTCTGAACCTTTTCCAATTCCAATATATCTTTTTTGAGATGGGGCGACCATATCTGCACGCAGTATTCAAGATTTGGGTGTACCATGGATTTATATAGAGGCAATACGATATTTTCTGTCTTATTATTTATCCCTTTCTTAATGATCCCAATATTCTGTTTGCTTTTTTGACTGCCGCTGCACATTGAGTGAATGTTTTTAGAGAACTATCCACAATGACTCAAAGATCTCTTTCTTGGGTGGTAACAGCTAATTTAGACCCCATCATTTTATACATATAGTTGGGATTATATTTTCCAATGTGCATTACTTTGCATTTATCAACATTGAATTTCATCTGCCATTTTGTTGCCCAGTCACCCAGTTTTGAGAGATCCTTTTGTAGCTCTTCGCAGTATGCCTGGGATTAGGCATATGTGACTTTTGTGACTAGTCACAACTAGCAATGCATCTTAAACAGCAAGCTATACAGTATACAAAGTCCAAAGAATAATTAGTTGAATAATGAAGTAAATATGAGAAAATCACTATGCATTTGGATCTTGGACTATCTTGGACATTTCATCACTATCTTGGACATTTCATAAACAGTAAAAACACTTCAAAATTATCACAAATTATTTGCTCAGCTCTCATTAGTATGTATAAAGTATTGTTAAAATATTACTCAATACTATGAGTACAATATGTGTTTTCATTTATGTTTATATGTAAGGGGAGCTGTGGCTCTTCCTTAACATTACATAGGTTTCCTCTTCAGATGGAAAAATGCCCAACTTTTGAATTAATAAAACTTGTTATTTTGGTGACCTCTTCAGCAGCAACATTTGGCACTTCATGAAGTTCTGTTTTAATGTTTGGTGTTCAGTCTAGTTCTGTTTTGAAGTTGCTTGATCCCACATACTTGGCTACTGCTAAATAACATGTTTGTACGTGATATAGCTTATGTTCAGAACTTAATACTGTCAATGCAGGTTTTTCTCACGCCAGCTTACAACAAACTGTATGGGAATTGAGGATGCCCAGTACCTTGCAGGAGGTGCTCTACCTTTCAGAATTGGGCCGTGTCTTAAGAAAGTTAAAGAAATTAGCCATTTAAAATTAGACTGGACAGAACACTAGAAAATAATCTTGAAGGAGCAATCCTATGGTGGCTTAGAAATTATAAAATTATAGGGTTTTTTCCATTTCTAATTTGTAGGATTCTGTTAAATTAATCATTGCAAAAATTTGAGATGTGTTAGTATATTAATGTTCAGACCATGTTTAGAATTTATTTGAATTAAACATTCAGTAAATCAAATATCTTATTTTGCAAAACAGTCCAGCAAATCAAGATGGATTCTTGTGCAGTGGAATGGTAACAAACTATTATAGTGTAACATTTGGAAAGGGAGTATATTTTTATTTTGAAAACTGTAATTTAGATTATCTAAATAAATGTTTGGGTGCAGGGGAGAGGAAACAGTACTCCAGAGGTTATGTTCTAATATATCACCTCCATTCTCATCCCCCTTCTCCTGCTCCTTTTTCTAACGACTGCAGCCCACGTATTACCGACTTCGTTGCCCTTTTCTTAGCCTTCTACCTTCAGACATCTATCCCTTCTTTCAGTTGTAGGGACAATAGTAATAATTAATTTAAAAACTTTAACTTTCACAAACATTTTTTAAAAATGCACATAACTATCAAGACTCATGCATTACTAACCAGAATAACTGCACGATCTTATAGTGAGGACCCTACCCAGTTCATGGTCCATTTTGGTCAATTTCAGTCATAGGCTTTTAAAAATAATCAGTTTCACGGTTTCAGATATTTACATCTGAAATTTCACTGTGTTATAACCACGGGGGTCCCAACCCAAAAGAGGGTGTGCGGGGGTGTCGCAAGGCTATCCTGGGGGGGGGACGGGACGGTGTTCACGGTATTGCCACCTGTACTTCTGCGTTGCTGCTGATAGAGGCACTGCCTTCAGAGTTGGGCAGCCGGAGAGCAGAGGGTTGTGCAGAAGTGAGGGTCGCATGGTATGGGGGGGTCACCACTTTTTGGGTGGGTCCCTGTGGTCAGGGGGGCGCTGTGGTCCCTCCTCCCCCAGCCAGCACAAGGCCCCTTTAGCCCCGAGCACTGGGCCCGGAGCTGGGGAGGTGCAGAGCTGGGGGCAAGGGTGCCGGAACCTTTGTAGAAGCTCCACAGCCACTCCCTATTCAGTGCCTCCGCCCCCCCCCCCCCAGGGGCTGGGGAGCGATGGGGCAGGAAGTGGGGTGGGGTTGCAGAGCTTCCTGCAGCTGGGGGAGGTTCTAAGAGGTGGGTTTGACCCGGCCCCGGGATTGGCCCTTGCAGGAGAAGAGGAAGTCCCATCCCTCCCCAGCCCTGCCAGGACTAGCAACTGGAGCCTGGGTGAATGGTAGGAGCCCTGGCTGGGTCACCTCCGTCCCTGCCCATCACTGGCAGATTTCACGGGGGAGACCAGATTCCAAGGTCCGTGACGCATTTTTCATGGCCATGAATTTGATGGGGCCCTACTTATAGTTTTACATCTGGGACCTTTCACACAGACCTGATTACAGGGTCAAAGCCAAAGTTGGTAAACTTAGTAATTAGCAAGATCTGCATATAGTTACACAAACGTGAAACACCATTTAACACCTGTAACCCTAAAGATAATGATGGAGATTTTTCGAAGCTAACCAGAGGATTTAGCTACACAATTCCTATTAATATTTGTGCATGTGTATTATGATATTTTAAGTCATACATTTCACTCATTGTCATAGCAAAAGTGCCAGAGCACAAACATCAACATTCTTCCTTTTAAATGCCAGCTGAGAAATTTCTACTAGCCAAATACCCAAATCTGTCCCTTCTTAAAGCAGTGTCACAAACTC